CCTTTGCAATGGTCTTCAGAAAGCAACAGCTTTTAAGTTCTCTAATCACCTTTACTTTGTCTTAGCTAGGTTTGGAGGTCTTAAAGATATAACAATGGTGATATTCTTTTGAATTCAAATAAGATTTTCGGTTAAATGTCTAACTTGATATGATGATAAATGACGACAGACTGATTACTTATTTCGTTTTATTTATATCAACTGCACATGTTTACATACTCAAACATTTTTTAATATAGAATATACTAAAGCAAACTATTTGCATTTAAGATGTTTTGCATCTTGTTGCTAATATTCGTAAAATATTATAAGCATTTAGAAACGAACATACATAAATGGTTTTGACATTTGTGTTTGGCATGACTTATGTATATATAGAAAAAATCATATTTCATGAAGTCGATAGTATAACCTTTTAATTTCACACTTAGACATAAGTTACTACGTTCCTATGATAGCTTACAACTGAAGGTAAGTAGGTGGTCGACCATCAAAAATTCTCCATCATTTATAATGGTTGTTCCGTAGCCATACACTTGTTGGAGATGATTGAAATATATCAATTTAAAACATATGCGTACATACATCATATATCGCAGATTTACAATTGGCGTTTGTTGTATTGCGACACCAATTTTTAGCTTTTACGGGTGGTGTATAAAATTTTTAATTACTATACTGTTTTGATGTACAAAGATAACATCTATATCAGTGTTTAATTTCAGACCATAATCGTTCACATAACAATAAACAAGATTCAAAAATGCCTACGAATATTTGTATATAATAATAAAACAGATTACCACTGATAAAGAAATAAACCATGCAATTAGACCACACATTTTACCGATAAAGACATAGGCGAATTTACAAAAAAAATTAATTATCATTTTACTTCTAATAAAATACATCTTTCAGGAATAAATTGTGCCGAATAAAGACGGTTACAATGGCATAGGGGTGGCAAAGTGAAAAGGGGGAGACTGAAAATATTTGAACAACAGCTGCTTCCGGGTTTTGACGTAATTACTCTATTTGATACCAGATTTTACCGTCTTCGTCCACATAATTTGCGGAAAAAATTTACGAGTAATAATTCCGATTTTATTTTTATATCGATCATTTATCAAAATTTATTTCTTTGTGAATATCGATGACATAAAAGATGTACAATTCTTCTCCATGCCTAACCACACCGGGTCAGATTGAGAATTGTTGTTTGTGAATTGTGATTGTACCTTACAAATATCTAATTTCTTTGCATTTAATTAATGAAAAGACTTACATCAATATATTTTACATATGAACACAACTGATGTCTTTATTTGTGTTTTCTGTAAGGAAATATAATTTTCATCTTAACTCGAATAATAAATTATTGTCATTTTTGGTCGATAATCGTACAGTAAACTTCCTTTTGAATAACGGTAATTCTGTTTGTCTTTAAAGGAGGACAGGTTTATCAACATAATACAAGAAAAAAGAGAAAGGAAACCTACTTTCTCCAACAATATTTATTGTACGTTTTTGTTCAAGAAATCCCTTATTATTTTAACCAAAAAAAAAACAAAATAAAAAGTTCTAAAATTACGCTATTACTCGGTAATAAAAATGAATTAAGAACAATTTAATAATTAAAAAAGCTGAAAAGATCCGATTGCCGTAGGAAAAAATTTGAAACATGTATTTGCGCCAAAAGTATGACATTTATTTTTTTTTATAATTTTAATATATCCGTGACACTTGCGCAAAAATGGCGAATGTAACGACATATCATTCATCAAAATCTGTTCAGATTTTAGTCGTTACGTAGACACATAAGAACGGACGGACATACATATACATACATACAGGTCAAAAACAAAACCATTCTTTTTTGGCTTTATCAAATTGAGATAAAAAGAAGAAACTGCATTTTTTAACCATAAACCTGTCTATGAATGGTCGTCTTCAATCATTGACATGGTGTCGTACATCGATACATAAGAATAGTAACGATTTGAAATGTTTTACAAAAACCATAAACTCTAATGCACGTTCTAATGTTCAAAGAAATGTGTGACGACCACAACTCCCGCGCGATCAAAGCGAAAGCACCATTAAAAAGCTCTCAACGATTAATGACGTTTTCACAACAATAAAGAGTCATTATTTATGAATGTGTGCACTGTCGGAGTGTTTTTAAAATACCATAAAATAAATTATTATCGACATTAATATATTTAGTTTGCATAGCTAAGACATAATTGTGTAAGGGGAATAGTGTCTAATCTGTTTAGTTGACAATTTATTGTATGTTTAAATACTTTATGCAGGTTAATTCCGATCATTAAATATTATTTTAATACTTACGTAATCCGTACATAGGTACGGATTCGCCTTATACAATTTTAAAAATTTTATCGTCTATTAAAATTTGTTTAATCCTAAGTGCAGAGATTAGCACAATAAAAATAATTAAGTTTCTCATCTAGTTATTCTGTATGATTGAGTTGTTGATAATCGCAAAAGAATGTATTATTATTAAGCCTGTACAGGGAAGGATTTATTTAGTTGTATGAAAACATGCACCTTCTTAAGCTGGATATGAAATGTACTATAAATGTATTGCTTCTTCGCACATTGATAGATATTAAATGGCATTGTTACTTACTCTACCCAATCTTGCGGGGTTACATATCATATAGAAACCCGGTGTATTTTAGAATATAACCTGCACATTCAATGTTAAAAAAATATTTTTTTAAGATTTATGTGAAATCTGTCGCATTGGGTTCCCGTGGTAGACAACGGTGGACATATACATATGTATATGTTATTAAACTTTTTTTCACTGCTTGTTATATTTATATACCGAGAGAACAAGTATGAAACCGTAACGTACTTATATTAGAAACATCCAAAACGAAGACCGTTAAGCTAAAGGATATAAAAATATTAACTACCTACCATTTATTATATCATCTCCCCATAGCCGTAAGTATTGTTACCGAGTGTCGAAGTGTCAGCCGCTTAACAAAGGTCCATCTCTCGAGACGTGTACTCTTAGTCATACAATGAAAACTGTCAGAGCTGACATCTACCGGACTAGTATATTTTATATCCTTTCATCGCTCTATTGTGTTTTGGACAAAGGTAAGACTATAGGAGATAGGTTTATTTAATTATAATAGAAGATAATGCGACATTATCAAGAGGTTTGTTCAAATGTTTCTAATATTTCCTATTTCCTCTTTGTCTAATCGTCTGTTTTAATAAACAATTAACAGAAATTAAAATCAATAAATAAAATTAACCTGTCGTCTATTGACAATGTGGAACACAGAACTATACTTTTATTATGCATACCCTTAGTGTGTTGTAACACATCCTTAGTTAAGAATACGTGATAATCGTTTTATTTAAAACAAAAGTTAAGACTAATAATTGGCGTAATGTTCGTCATTACGCCTATGCTTCGTATAAAAAAAGTAAAACCATTCGTTTTTTTTTTATTTAGAATAAAAAAAATAGTTAATAGCTCTGTGCTTTTTAGCCCTAAAACTTAACTCCTTAGAATATCTAAATCATATACACATATTCACTTGGCATTTGGGTTTGTGAAGAAAATTTAAGTAAGTTTCAAGCAGTCCAAAATCCAGTAAAGATACACAATATCTTAATCTTAATAAATAAAAATGAATGTTGGTAAGTGCATAACTCAAGAATGGCTGGACCAATTAGGCTAATGTATAAATGTTTGTGTTCCTTAAGTTCCACGGTAGGTTTTAATACTATAAAAAAAAGAACGCAGTCTGTCCGGGCAATAAGTAAATGTACACCAAAACTGTATACAAAATTTTAAGTAGCCATTCTATTTTATTCGGCATTAAGACATCATCAACATTATTATATCTTACCCTGTCATGTAGTGATAGCTCAATTTCCCTTTATAATTCAACGTACTCAAGGTATACACATACCGAACCATATATATATATACAAATACCGGTTGATGAACCAATGAATTTATTAATTGTAATTTAAAGTGCCGACTCATAACGTTCTCAACGGTGAAGGATCACATCTTGAAAAAACCTGCATATGTAATAAAAAATGATCTAGTAATAATAAAAAAAATTTCAAAGGTATGTGAAGTCTGCTAATCCGCAGTGGGTGGTGGAGTATACCCCGATACAGAAGAGGAATTTGCTCAACAGCGGGAGATATTTGGGTAGTTACTTTACTTTTATTTTATCCTATCATGTTTACTACGTAGGTTATTTAAGACTATACAGCCGCTACGTTTTCACAGCGATAAATAAAAATATGAGCATAACATTGAGGTAAAATTATGCCAAAAATTAAGTTTTTCTTAATAAAAATAGCGCTAAAGTTTGTCTCGTGAACACAAGCACCGGGTGCGCATTTAAAGACAGTTTTACGGTTGTTTTACACATAAATAAGAACTGTGTCCATTAAACCTTTTAGAACAGTATGTCAAGATGTTACTTTTATTTTTTATACCACAAGGATACATCGTAGGTACGACGAGAAAGTGATTGTACTTATTTAAAAAAAAACCTTTATTAACTCATTATATTAATGTGTGTAACCAATATATCATAAAACACTTTTGTAAATTTCTGAAAGTCTACTATCAAATAGTTTCAACTCGTCCGTTTCATCGTTCATTATCCAGTAGAAAAGACTATCTCTAAAATTGATATATAACTCGGAGAAGATCAACTTTATTAGGATCAAAACAACTTGCATTTAACAAGTTTTATTGGTTTTTAATGAATAAGCATTCTCAACTGAAAAACAACATTATTATTGTTTACAATAATAATGTTTAGACCGCAAAAACTGAATTTCCCAAAAATAACGTATGTTTCTTTGACCTCTCTTGGGAGGTTTCCTTTGATCCAAAGCAATAGTTGAATAAGCTATTGCCCTTTTTTATACAAATATCAAGGAGCAGTTAGTTCTGTAAGTAGGGTGGGTGGCCGTGGACGTCAGCAAATCCGGTGGGAATGTGCATTCGTTAACGGCGGTTTATCCTGCGCGTCAATTAAAATTACGAGACGAATAGCAAATACAAATTCTCATTTAACGATCGGATTCAGGGTTCTTCCCCGACGGGCGTATCAATGGCAGCAGCTCCTTTTTTATGTAAGAAGGTGGCTAGCGAGCTGGCGGTTAACCTGATGTTAAGTGATAACCGACGCCCATGGATATTTACAAAATCCGTTGAGTTGCAGATGCGTTGCAACCTTTTAATAAATTGGGCCCCGGCTATGTCACTCACCAGACAAATCGCAGAAGTATAACAATTAGACTTCACGCCACTCTTCTGTAACGTAGTGGTACTTCCTCGGAAGGGCCTGCATATTCGTGCAACAACGAAGACTGTTGCGTGGCCCTACCATTATTATGAGCAAAATAAGTACTTACAGGTAACGGGAAAGGTACCGGGCGTTGCGCCATCTGCGAGAAGGGTGGCATGCGAGGTTCGGGCTGCTGCTGAGACTGGGGTTGTTGCTGAGGCTGAGGCTGAGGTTGAGGTCTGATGGGCAGACGTACGGGCCCAGATAGGGGGAAAGCGAACACTTGCGACTGTGGCTCCGGGATCAGCGGCATTTGTCTGCAGCAACAAAAACGTGCTATCGGACCCAAAGGCTTACTATATCGACCTTGTAATGATGACCCTGTTAAATGGAGCAGAGATTGAAGCTCAGAATGAGTTATCTTTTGCCCGTGGTAGAGCCTCATTCGGGGAAGTATAGCCTCACAATTGACAAGTTTGAAGTTGAAGTAGTATAGGTTCACGTTACGTATAGCGGGGGGACTTTTTTCAAGGTTGGAAATACAACTCCAACTCTTCAGATATTGTCGATGTCCATTGCCAGATAATGACTTACCATCAGGTAAACCGTCTATTAGTTTTCAAACTTTTCACGGAAAAATATATCATATCTCTGCGGTAAAATTTTCTGATAAGTAACAATCGTTTAGTGTGAACATAGATCTTACCTGTTTTTTTTTGAGTCATTTAAATTATTTTGCCTAATATGGCCTGTATTATATGCACTTGGGCATCAACTTTTTTGTAGAAAAAAGATCTAAGTTTGACGAATAAAACCGAAAAGAAGATGTTATTTAAAATCTTGTTTACATAACTTTTATATGAATTGAGGCAAACGCTCCAAAAAATGGTTGGGCGTGGCAGAAAATTGCGCGAAAAGCGCATTGACGCCCTGCATTAAGATGGTATTGACGACATAAAATTATCATAAGTATTACGAATATGAAACGTCTTTAAAAGATCCGAGAACCTGGAAGTTAATTTAAAAGTTAAACCATTGCAAATAGCGTACCCATTTGACTTACAACATTAAGACGAACTCATTCCGTCGAATGTTTTTTTTTATACTCACGATCCCATTATTTTGTTTTATATTTTCCGGAAGCTCAATTCGCGATATAAAACAGGGGTAAAAATAAATTTGGAACGCAGATTATTGGAATAAGATTACTTTCGACAGTTCCCTCAGTCGGCGGATCTATGCAAAGCAATCTCGTTTTCATAAAAAGCTATGAAAATGTTTACACAAAAACTTCCCTAATTCCGTTTGTAAGACTGTAAACTTTGTAAATATAAATTACTGAAGATGTGTGCTCTTCGATTTGTTTACTTTTCCATACGTTGCTGAACATCCGCAATTTTGATTTCCACCAACCGGTTTACCTGGACTCATCACCTCCGTGGCAGATGATAGCGATACGCTCTGCCTGAGCGCTGCGCGGTGCGAAAGCTCCCAGAATGTTGAAGGGGAATGGTCTTTCTATTGGCTCCTCGTGACGCCTTTCCACCACGCAGTTCATGCGGCCTCTGGAAATAATAGAAAGAATTGAAAAGCCATTAAAGTAAATTATTATTAACTCATTGTTGTTGTTGTGATTGCGGAATCGAATCCTAAACATTTTTGCCTTTGTGTGAATGAGTTCTAGTATTTAAATAAAAGAAATTATTAAAAATACAACTTCAACTCCAAATCAGTGTTTCATTTTTATAAAAAAATTTCATAAATTAACTAACTTTGTTACTTTATCCCCATAAATATATAACTTCTATGTCCCAACCTAGGTGGAGTCGATACAACATGTGCATCAATTTGTTAATGGTATTGTAAAGGTTGTTTACGACCAGTTTTTCCGGACTTTAACTCTCGTAGAATCAGAGGAAATATAACACTTGCAATTACGCGTTGTTGACCACCATTATACATTATGCCAATATCATTATATATTAAACTATATGTGCGAAGCCATAGAAAGTCAATAAGTTTCGTGCGGATTAATTTATTACATACTTATACAAGATCGAATATACAACTCGAATTCATAACGACCGCTTACTTCTGATTGTTTGGCAAGGAAGCGGCAACAAGGTTGTCGATATTGAACTGGATGGGCTTGAACATCGGTCTGATGGCGTCCAGCTCGTCCTCTTCGTCCGAGCCTTCGGACTCCGAAGCCTCGTCGCTGCCAGAGTTCGCTGAATCGGACTTGGTGTTGTCGTCGTCGATCTTCTGCAAGGCCAAATGTCGTGTTATATACGCGTTTACTTTGCGAAATAATTCACCACGCAAAAAGTATGGACCAGTGTACTAAATGCCCCAATTCACATGCTACGCCGTGATAGCTCAACGCTCGGGCGCTATTTTAAGTGCTGACTAACCTGAAAATGTTATAATAATAACAGATTGTATGTAACATTAATCAAGAGACAATAGACCACATTACAGGAGGCTGCACATTTTTGGCAACTATACAATATACAGAACTGCATTATAATGTAGCTAAACAAATAAATCGAATATTAACCCTAAAATACAAATTATTAGATACAGCAGAACCATATTATAAATATAAACCTTTAAATATACTAAATAATGGGCAAGCAAAACTTTATTGGGACCGCGATATAATAACCGATAAAACTATCACCAATAATAGACCAGATATTACTCTAACACTAAAAGGCGAAAAATTAACATATCTCATAGACATATCCATACCAAATTCTGAAATATACAGCAAAAATACAAAAATATATCCCACTTGCAGATGAAATACGTCAATTGTGGCATCAGCACACGGTTAAAATCGTACCCATCATTGTTTCATCCACAGGACTAGTTCCAAACTCTTTAATTACATCTCTTAAAGAACTAGGTTTACACAAAAATATATACATTCAACTACAGAAATCCGTCACTGACATTTGACACATGCTGAATAGTCCGGCGATTCCTTACATCCACCACTCAAACACCTACATCACTACATAATGAACCGATCCACTTGGCATAGCCCGTGATAGGTTCACACCACCAGCTATGTGCTGGGATTTAAAAATATAGTTCGAACATAATAATAATAGAAATAAGGAAAATTATATATTTTCGAAATAATAGCAAAATAAAATAGTTTCGAACGTGAAGCCTGCTACGCAGTGGAGTCGCGTGGTGGATAACCCCCCCTAATAGCCCTTATGCCTTTTTTCCAGTAGCATATACAGGCTGTTACTTTACTTTTCCCTTGACTTTTTTTTATGCGAAAAGTTGCCAAACGAGCAGACGGTTCACCTGATAGTAAGTGAATACCGCCGCCCATGGACATCTGCTACACCCGAGGGTCACAGATGCGTTGACAACCTTTTGAAAATTGGGCTCTGGCTACCTCACTCACCAGACGAAACGCGAAAATTTTTGTTATACTTCCACTTTACGCTGGTCTTCTGTGAGGTCGTGGTACTTACCCGGACGGGCTTGCCCATTCGTGCAACAGCCGAGGCTGCTGCGTGGCCCTACCACCGTAGCGGACTTAAATTAATTAAGAACAGTCTCATCAATTTCAAACAATTTTCTAATTAATTTTTATTTGTCTTATATAAAAGTTATTTGTGTTTATGGTTTATTTTTAATTACCGATATAAACAGGTAAAATTTATTTAAGATTTGATAAACTAACTAGCTTTAATGATTGATATTGATTACGCCACATTTGTATTTAAATAAGTTAATCATATATCACCTGTTAAAAGAGAACTTTGCTTTGTACTCAAAATAAGAACTGACAATACTTATCAATGCATAAAAATCTTCGAACATTTTCCTTCAAACTTTTCTGAAAACAACTTTATCTATTGTGATGAATGGAAAAAAGTAAAATTCTACAAGTATTAAAAATTAGATTGCTACAAAGAGCAAACATTCAAAATGTTACAAGTAAAGTGGGCGTAGTATTATATTAGGTGAAGGAAGTAGCGAAACGAAGATTTCCTTATTACGCTGCCTAAATTATGTTCCTCTCCAATTTCAAGTGCCAACTGTACGGCACGACATTCAATTACATTTCGTATACCTCAGCACCTATTTTAGGTTTAATAAGTAGCAATGAATTCTCGTATTTTTGGTAAGTAATGCAAATTTTTATATAAACTGTTTTCAAGTTTTCTTATTTATTTGCTTTTGAATTTGGCGTAGTTTCGTAAAAACATATTCGGAGAAGTGCAACGTGTTAACTTCTTTTTATAGAAAAGAAAAGGATTCAAACAAGCAAGGGTCACCTGATGTCAAGTGATCACTTGCAACATCGGACATTATATTTTTTATTCTTATTTTGTTATACTACATCATCACGTTTACGTACAGGTACGTTTAGATGCCATGATGAGTTCGAAACGTGAAATGTTCGCATACTTCAAAAATGGATGTAGTTTAAATTCGGCTACATTTTTATTTTTTTATGTTTGTTACCTCAGAACTCCGTGATTGATGAATCGATTTTAAAAATTATTTTTGCATTGATTCGGTTTAGCACCCAAGTGATTCCGTATTAATCTCATTGGTACTTGAGCTACGGAGATAAAATCAAATAGAAAATGTATGTTGTGTAAGAAATGTGAAATCTTGTTTAAGGTTTATTGACAGTCGTAGGACTCCTTTACTGCATTTGAAAGTCTGCAGGCTGCAGGTATCAGCCTATAGCGGTAGCTATATGTGTAGATCTTACGTTCGATACAATTTAGCGCTTAATAAATAGGGAACTGAAGTTTAAAACTCGAATATCTCGTTCTGTGCTGTTTACCGCCTACAATACGCTCGGACATCCTGCTCGAGACAATGCATCAGCGCGCCATTGTTCAAACGCCCCCCGTTTATAAATATTGCCAACATTCAGATAGATACCTCATCATTAGTTCGGCCGACTGGTATTTACTACTTTTCTCCTATTTAAGCGTAAACAAAAGATCTCGTAATATATGTAAAACTGTAGAAGTCCTCCCCTTCTTAGGCCGTTATGAGACAAGTCTTCTCTTTTAGTGCTAATATACTAGATACTAACAGAGTGCTTATCTTTCAGTTTAAATTTACTTTTGACTAATAGATTTATTTTGTGCCGTGATAGCTCAGTGTCCGGGGCGCTCGCCTTTAATTCAATATACTCGAGCAACCCGAGTTCGATCCCCGGTGCCGGCACCAATGAAGTTTTTAACTTTAAGTGCTGACTTATCACGGGCTCCGCGGTGAAGGAAAACATCGTGAGGAAACCTGCATATTTTCGAAATAATAACAAAAAAAATATATTTCGAAGATATGTGAAGTCCGCCAATCCGCAGTGGGGCCGCGTATGCCCTGATACCCTCTGTATAGAGGAGGCCTTTGCCCAGCAGTGGGACATGTATAGGCTGTTACTAATAGATTTAAAATAAGTAAATTGTTACTAACAAAAAACAAAACCGACTTATAATATCACACTCGCCATACTTTTTTCCGTAGATTTGAGGAGTTCCCTGGAGTCCTTCGGAGTCCAAGGTCCTACGGTCCTATACCAATGAAATTAATACGGGACCGTGGAAGCTAATCCGAACCGAATGCACTTTTCTCGACAAGAATTTTTAAAAATTGATTCATAAATGACCGGGTTGTGAGGTAACAAACATAAAAAGAGGATGTACCCAATTGGGTACATCCTCTTTTTTGAAGTCGGTTTGAAAAACATGAATGTTGATAATATTACCGCTTCATTCACATCTGAAAATTCTTTTTGGTTGGAAACATTCATCTAAGTACGATTTTTTTTTTCTTAAAAAGTGAATATAGTATATCATAGATAATAGTCATAAAATGTCAAAAACTAAATTACTAATTAAAACTTCAATAGCCCACATGATCTCCTGAGCGTAAATACTAAAAGCAGTGTAAGACGTCTCTTACTGAAGCATGTTTCCCCTTCTAACCTTGATTGTGTTAAAAAAACTGTAAAGTACATTTTCAATAACTCTCTAAAAAGTTATCAATAGCAAGACCTTGCTACTTTACTTGGAGCTTGTTCGTTTCATGATAAAATCGTTAAAACTAACAGACCACTAACTGGGAGTTAAGAGAAGAAAGTAGACTTTGGAAACTAAATGTGGTGTCTCACGATTTTATTACTTATCTCGATCATATGCGGACAGTCATGAAGATAATCACAAACGATGGCCGCTTTCACATGCTCTGCTGTGGCCTAGTGGGGGACAGTAGAAAGTGGGGAGCGAGCCGGTAGTCGGTGCCGAGTACTGGTAGTGAAAGCTATTTGCTGTGACGTCATTACATGCATAGGCCACGCACCATTGCGTGCACTTTATCCCGGCACAGATAAAAGATTGTACAATGCATTTTACGCAACGACATACTGCCTCTCGTAATTCCACGCTCTCGATTTACCCAACTAACGGCCAAGCTACATGTTAACCACTTGGGCAATGGTTAAATGATTAAATTCTCTCCACAAAACGATGTTCAATTTGTTGTTTTCTTAAATAGATGAACAATCAAAACAAAATTATGGCTGCCAATCCGCATTGGGGTCTGGAGGTGGACTATGTCTTAAATCATTTCTACAAAAGTGGCTTTTACCTTTAGGTTATATAATTTAAAGGGTACAACATTTCACTTCATCTTCCTTAAAACATGAATTGTAAGTGTATTGTGCCAATAATATCATAAAGAAACATAATTAAGGTTAGTAAGTTTCTCTGTAAACATTAATTCCATCAACAAACCTTTGATTTATGCAACGGCGTTTCTATTGTCGCCGCACAAACCGACCTATGCATTACAGAACTATATAATGAGTGCGCTTCTCAATACATGCCAATAATTTGTGCGATGTTTAACATCGAACACAATGACTCCTCGTGACTACAATGCTATGTTAATGCCAAATGCCATATAAACTGTTCACAATACTTTCTCTAAATCAAGTCTGACACGATGACCCTGTGCTGGTAACGACGATAGCGGAATGATTAATGCATGAAATATGCATAAATAGTTTATTGCACACTGATATTTTATTTTCATTTCGATAAATTAATCACACAAGCTCAAAAATAGAAAAGACGCTTTTGCATGCGACAAAAACAACAGACATTTAGTGTTTATAAAATATTAAACTAAGGATGGTTTGCTTTGGGCATAACATAATTAAAAAGGATACGCAAGCTATCAGATTGAAGCTTTGTGTCATCCACTAAACTCTAATGTGATCCTGAGGAGGCCTGCTACACGGCTTGACGAATCCTCGCCTTACTTCGTATGCTTAGCGCATCAGTTCTGTCCGTAAGAATTCTGGCGGGATATTAACAAAACACGCACCCACCACTGTGCTCATTTAGAAAAACATTTTTAACGATTTCGCGAGACCAAATAAAATAATGCTATTAAATATCAGACAATTGAAAATTATCACTTTGAGGTACCTGTAACTTATCCTCATCGATCTTAGACTCGGCATGGTTCAAAGGATCTTCTTTGATATGGCTGTCCGATGCGAGGGCTGGTTGTGGGTGCATGGATCCGCCAGAAGTGTGGAGTGGTGGGTCCGCGTGCAGGGCGTGCGCGTTGGCGACGGGCAGCGGCTCATCCTAAAAATTTACATTAAAAAAACGGCAATTAGTTACGAAGGCGTACGTGACATTCGTTATTACGACATTAAACATAACTCATCTCATAAATGTTTTTCCGTGGTCCTCAATTCGCTTGTGCTTAATTCCTCTTCCTTATAGCTATGTTTATATAAGCATGAATTCACGATCTGAATCGTTAATTTTTAATCCAACGCACGGACGAATTTTCCATTTTTTTTATTTCATACCGACAAAAATAAACTAGCATCAGACATATGTGCTCTTAATGGGCGATGGACTTGATACCTGACATGTTTTAGGATAGATTTAATAGGATTGGTGACATGAAAATAAGCTAAGAGTTAATAAACATATGGGTTTGTATTCGTTTTTGTTAATTTTTGACTTTATTAGGTACTTATATGTATCCAATGCAGATGTAATGCGAATAGATAAAACCTGAATGATCCTCTTTATTTATGTCAAACCTAACAGAATAATGGAGAATTATCATAACATATGATGAAGGTATAAAGAATGCAATTAAATAAAGTAAAAAAAAATCATATATTTTATTAAGGAAACGGTCTGACAAACTTCAAGGTGACCAAATATTTCGATAAGTTATTGCCTTTGAAGTACCGTGCCTTTCTGCAAAAACCGACGAATAGATGTTAAACTTAAACACCTAGTCCACAAAAAATTTTGCCAAATTTTTGGGATCACAGATCAAGTGATTCTACTAAAACTAAAAATAATTTTATTTAATCAACTTAAATATGTTTTACGTGAAATGGCATTAAAATATTTATAACTTAACAATCAAATTTTGTATTAATCAACGCTAACTTATCTTTTAAACGCAAAAGAAACTTATTCAAATGTCAAACTAACAACGCTCACTCTGAGTAGAAAACGTCTCTGTGCTCATCACAAAATGGCGGCTGCGCAAAACCACTCAATTACGTAACTTTGGAGACTTGTAAGCGGTGTGGCATATTTACATGCTACAAGTATCTAAGTCCGTCATTGTCTAAGTCAACTCCAGCGTTCTCACAGATTAATGGGTAAATCACGCAGAATAATAAGTAGAGATTGCAAAAACACATAGGTAAGATGCAGGGTTAATAGCTTTACGTACATATTTCTTCATTATGTCTACTTAAATATTGATAGTCTAGGTATATAGCCTTTAAAAGACAAAAATACGTTCTTTTTTTTGTTTTTTTTTAATTATATTTATTTTATATTAAAACATTTTCTATATAATACAACTGAATAAAACAGCTGTTTTACAAAATAAGGAAATTTATTAGAAAAACTATTTGTGAAAACAAAGATACAACATCTATAGCAATTTTGAGACTATTTAAAAGTAAAATGATAAAATCTTAGATATAAAACTAAATAAAACTACGAGGTTATATCTAAACTACAAACTCACCAAAAAGAGTTCGTTAAAAATGTACAATATTTATATTGATAGAATTATAATTATAATATTTAAATAATTGTTTATATTGAAAGCTTTCTTAAATCAAAAATACGCTGTTTAAAGTTCAATAAACATATACCTTTGCGAGTTTGCTACTCGCAAAGGTATTTATTTATTATAATATCTTATAATATCTTAGCCTCTCATAATATCCTTAGCGTCGAACATAGTTTGATTTCCGTACTCATAATTTCTAGCCATGGTATGATGGTAAATAATATACCAGATAAAAGCCCAGAGACTATGCATCGACTCATGTAATCACGTACTCAATAAGGCTACGTAATGTAAAAAGCTATATAATGTAATCAATAAGGAAAACAGTATAATACCAAAGTAAGTAGGTAGTTATAGCTGTAGTAGTAATTATAAACAAAAGATAATTAAAGGGGTTGAAGAGGATTTACGAATCATTTTCAGTCAGTGTGGTTTTGACGTGGCGGTATTTAATTTAACACCTCATTATGTTCTCCACGTCCGAAGTATGTTAGGCCGCGTCGTATATAAGCCGCGATGGTTTAAATCTGACACGGCTTAAATGCAAAACAGACTTCAAGCGGTGTCAACTAACAGAGGGCAGCGAAGCGGGGAATGTTCGCGACCGCAACCGATAGAAAACGACGATTACGTTGCCTGCACAATTGTCGCATTGTGCACAAGACCACGAAACTTTTACTAAATTTACGAAACAATTTTAAACGATTACTCTCGTTATTACTGCCCGAGTTGAATGTTGCGTGATAACGAGGAAACTACCTGCAAGTCGCGATAGAAAAATGTAAACTTAAAACTCGAGGATATTTCCCGAAGTTGGGAATGCAAAAATTGATTTCTTCATCTAAAAACTTATATCATCATAATGTATCATATAAATAGAGTTTATTGAATCAATATTAAAGTCGTTACTTTGTAAAATAATAGAAAAGTTTAAAACCTATTAATCGAATTATACATCAAGTTACGAAACAAAATACTTATAAAACATTTTAACGCATGTACTTTTACATAACGTTTACTGTTTGTTTAGGTCTGTACGTTATAACATATAGTACTAAAGTTATTGAAAACCACTGTAATGTGTGTTTTTAAAATACTTTTACATGGTAAAGTTACTCCAATGTGATATTTATGTGATGGTATGTGAAGTAATAAATTCCATCAACACCTATTTAATTGTATTTCTAGAATCCTTTATACTTGCTTTGTTTATACAGTTGGAACCACCAACTTTAAAATGTTATACATATTTGTTCTTACATCACCATTATGCCACAAGCAGAAAAATAATTTAGCGTTGTTGCTATAATCTCAATAAGATTAACAGATTGTCCTGCATTTTTCATGAATCTGCATAGATATTCTTGTCTATGCCCAAATAAACAGCAGCCTACCAGTCGTCGAAGTTTCTACCAACCATCGCGACCTTACCGTCACCGTGACGTTGCACCTTAATGTCTTTTTTTTTCTCTGCAGTTTTTCCTTTGATGTTCGCTGCTTATGCAAATAATAACAGTTGATTTGAATCTCGAGAGCCGCAGATTAAATATTACGCGAGGTCAATAATTATTAATTATCCAATGACAGGGCTGTGGGCGGTTAGCGCGGGTGGACGGATGTGCAGAAAGATCAGTGTGTTGCGCGTACGCGGAAAATGAGCCGTTTCCGTTCTCCTCTAGTTATGTGCACGTGATGCGAACACAGAAAAAAGATACGAAATTACTAAAATACACCTACAATTGAACTCGCATAAACAAATCATCAGCGTCATACGCTCAAGATTTTTTTTCATCTAAATAATAACGTCAATTTCACATTATCTATTTGAACGGATAACAAAAAGCATACTGACTGTTTGATTTCATATTTTAATTTAGTAAGCAAAATGACGCTGTATATAAGCAATTAAGCTGCGTGCAGACACTTTAATGGTCCATAAAATAGTAAGATGTATTTTATGAAAATGCAATGCGTAATGCAAAAGCTATTCGCGATGATTCTATTTCTTTTCATGTTATATTATATTCATGAAGATATTATATTCATATTCCTGGTGACATTTCGCAATAATATTTGGATAAATTATTTATGATAATTTACACTTAGTTGACAGAAACTAAATGTTAATAAAATTCACATACATTGGTCACGACGGTCAGTCGAATCGTGGGCTTCATGCATCTCAAATGTTTTCATTCCAACAATTATTTTAAATATTATGAGTTAGGTTGATACGTTTATCAACGCACCAATTGATTCTCAGGCACATTGCACACTTAACTTAAAAAAGTATAGTGAATAGCAATGAAAGCAGTTGAATTAGTGATGGTTATAAACTTTGAATAAAGAGGCAACGAAGACTTACGCCCGGTTTCTGAAACACTGATCATCGCAGAAATCAATTAATCAGCTGTCAAAAAGCTTTTCAAATGTTATTTAAGATGCCAAAAGGGTGGTTAAACTATCTGAATTGAGAATGACCTTCTTAATGATTAGAATTGTATTCTTAAAGGGTCGTTAAATTGAATAACAGAACTTGCAAGACAAACATGGAAAAGAATAGCTGTTGTATATTGTTGTATGTGGGTATAAATATACACGCGCAATAAATTCAATGCCTACAAAATTTATTCAGCCAAGCGATTATTTAAATTGTGAATCATTAAAGTAATATGAAATAATATAGTGATAGAAAAAACTTGCCCGCGAATGGATTGAATCTTGATGACATCATCATATAAACATTGTTTCTATAAAGTTCAGTTTTGTAAGTAATGAAATATATAACAACGGTTAAATTACTGGTTTTTTTAAAGCTGGCAAAGACTGGCTGGCTGGCAATGGTCATAATATTTAAGTCCAAATCTTTTTTACTGTCATCACTTATAATCTGACTTTCCCTATACAAATAACATAACCGAACCTGTAACTTTAAACTTACTGAGTTTTCAAAACTACTTAAGAGGACGATGGACAAGATTTCTTTATTTTTAAAGATTTACCTCAGAGTTTTTTTTTTATTATTTTTATAAACTAGAATATTAATTTAGAACGTTTAATTTAGCCGTCTTGTCCATTTCATCTTTTCTTCTATGCACATTCTTCCTCACTTTTTACTATGTCGTTAATATGTCGTCTAAGAAGCAAATGTTAGATTCGAAACGCATCGAACTCGTCCGTTGGGTTCCAAGATGCATCCATGACCCGGGTTCATTGACCGCGTCCGTAACTTTCGCCACACATACATTTTCGCCAACTCTAGTCCGCAATTGGTATGCCGCAGCATACCATGTACCATGTACAGACACAGTTATAACATCGTTTCATATATCCATGAAACAGTGATCTAAGTGTGTTTCAATTTTTGTCTCTCTTTACGAACATTTTAAATAAATTGATGGTCCAAATTACGGACAGTTGTTTAGCATTTTGCCCTTTAGAGACAATACTATGTTGCTATTATCAAGCAACACATTTAAACTGGTTTTAGAACTAAATGTGATGCGTCAACTACGGAAGAGACTTCATAAAATGAAAGTTATTTATAGTTTGTTTTCGTGTAGAACTTACGTTATGAATTTCTAACATCATTTATTTCCTGTCTCGCGGTATTTTGAAAGTGAGAAGACGATAAAATAAACAAAAGAATTGTGCTAACACAATTTAGGCAACATTCAATACTTCAATACTCAAATAACGCAAGTTCAGCATTTACGATATTTGATCACAATAATGTTTCGCTTTTATTTTCGGACAATATGCCGTGATCGCTCAGTGTCCAGGTGCTCGCCTTTAATTCAATTTACTCCAGCAACTTGAGTTCGATCCCCAGTGCCGGCGCCAGGGAAATTGTTAATTTTTAACTGCTGACTTATCTTCTCAGTGGTGAAGATCAAGCGGTGACACATCGTGAAGATAATATGTGAAGTCCGCCAATCCGCAGTGTAATGGGAATGATGAACGAAAAACTTCCATTTATTTAAAATAAAGCTTTGTAATTTGGGGATGGTAACTTTTTAGTCAGATTTTTTTTAAACATTTTTCTTTCTTTACGATAACACTATTCTGTGTTGTAAGGACGTTTTACAAACACAAATTTCACGCGAACAAACACCCAGAGGCGTAACAACTATCTGTGGGTCACACAAATAGTTGTCCCGTGTGGGAACAAACCCACGACCCCCGACGCCGAAGCCAAATACCTTGGCGACTGCGCCACGGAGTCTTCGACTGTAGGATTAGTTGAATGTGTAAATATTATTATAATATTTTCTTTTACAAACTATAGACAAAGCTCCTTGGTTTGAAGAAAAATACCCATTAAAATTGAAATAACTATTATAGGTACTTGTTGCCCAATAATAATAGTAAAACGCTTTAAATATTTATGCAGTCTTCATAAAATCTCAGTATTTCCATGTTCACAAGTTAATTGTAGTTCCCATCGATTCAAAGCTCGGCTTGCACAATTCACAGCGCTATAATTTACTTGTTCTAGAGAAAACCAACACGCAGTTAGCACTCTGTGCTACATCTGCAGGCTCTTCTCGAGCATTGCCATAGTAATTAATAAGCCCACGGTAATCAATCCAGATGAACGGGCCAACACCACCAATTAATATAACCTTCCGATTTTCTACGGCACATCTTACTTGCATTAAAAGAAACTTCGTCGCGGAGTCGCGGCTTTGCGTAACATTTGTGAAGGCTCTCAAGGTGAACGGGTCGTCTGTCGTCGTGCAATGTGACTCGTTCAGACTTCGAAACGGTCACAAGCATATACACGGATAATGTAAAATTACGATTGTTACATCATTGCCCGGATAAGAGCAGGTGACGTATCAAAAATAATTTCTTTCAATTTTAGGTTTCGCATTCGCTCTAGGCTTTTAAATAAATTCTGCTACAGTCTTAAAAATGCTAAGTGAATTTAAGGAGGTTCAGGCGTGCAAACACGTGTGTAAATAAATTTAAAAAAAAACAGTTATTGACAGTATGTTAATTACCAACATAATTATTAATGCGTTCCTTTCAAAAAACTAAAAAAATATACGTTTCGATTATATAGGTCTCACGCATTAATAGGTCAACAATACATAACGATCCTCTTTGAACATAAACAATGATTTACATTCAATACACGATAAAAAAATTTTCTCACGATGACGACTTGATCTGAATGTTAGATGAGGAGTCACTTAAAACTGGAGGTCAACAAACTAAGCGGGACAAACATGTTTGAATACACGAATTTTGAATATACCTACATAACACGAGTTGAACCATAGATGCATATAGATATAGAATTTATTTTTAAAAGAACTCTAAAGAACTATAACTACTTACCAAGTAAAAGATTTTTTAGAATGATTGCAGCTAAAAACTCTATGACATAAAATTTTATGCAATACTGTTAATGTAATATTATTGAATAAAAAGTGTAGGAGTTAAAGCAAATATCATATTAGATCCATAGTATTGTAGAAAGTTACGTTGATTTTTCCAACACATATGTTTATTGACAAAAGATGTCAATTGTAGACATACGACACCTTCGGTATTTACACCCCTACAGTTTTAATTTCAAATTGAAGGACGAATAAGGTATAGCACCCGGATACAGGTCTAATATAAATTACTCAGGCAGAAGAACGGGTATACTTACGCTTCTTTTGAAGTAGTCTACATGACCGGGGATCAGTTAATTCTGTTGCACAAATGGACTCGTCTGTGATTTATTGGGCCCTCATAAAATACCAACATGAAACGGAAGTTTCATAACTTTTGCGTTTCCTCTGGAGATTAGGGTGACCGTGGTCACCCGTTTAAATATTACCAACGCATCTTCAACAAAACTAGTGCCGAAGATGTCCTTCGAGTAATCACTTCATATCGGGTGACTCATGTATTCGCTTGCCACCTTCTTACTTAAAAGCTCCTTTTTCTTTAAGAACAATACACTAAGGGTGAGTGATACTTACAGCAATCAGGCCGTCGTTCCCGTAACTTCTTCCCTCAAGCGCAAGCTCCTTGTCTAGCATGGCGTCTAGCTGCTCCAATTGATGGCATGACGCGCGGGCGGCAACCCAGCTCGAGGCCAGGATGAAAGAGCCAAGGATGAAGGAAGCGGCTATGATAGTTAGCGCTGCGATCCTGGCAATCTGGACCGATGAGGACACTCTCTGCCGGTAGGCCTATGGACAACATCACCCACATATTGAAATGGCGAATACAAAATGGAGCCTTAACAAATGTTTCTTTAGCAATTTATTTTTGAAAATTTTTAAGCGTGTTAAGGAGATCTTAATTTTTTTGTGTCACTGTCATTTGAGAAACACTTCGATAACGAAATATTTTTTTATGGGAAAAAGGTCCCCTGATGGTAAGTGATCACCGCCGCCCATGGCCATTTACAACATCGGTTGAGTCGCAATTTTAAAGTGTATTCAATATTTATCGTACAACAGTTTTGATATCGACAAATAAGTCTTTATAATTACAAGAAAAATTAAATATTTATTCAAAATAGAAAAAAATATTCTCTTAATTTTTGATGCTTATCTGCTATGTCTCTATAGTGTAAAGCATAAATGAAAAATGTAACTATAAAAAATTAAAATTTCATAAAGTCTCTGACTCGGTCGTTGTGTTTTCTATTTCTCTATATATTCTTGTGGTGGTTTCATTAAAAATCCACATTTTTTACGCGGAACAACAATATATCACCAAGCTTTAATTAGGTAGGAAGTTTAGGATAGGTTTACTAAGTAATTAGTTTACGTTTAGGATCCGCAAACATAGCTAGTTTATAGACGAGTTTATGAAATTACATCACAATTAATCCCATTCCATTACCCCTTTACATTAAACTCTTTGTTCGCTGAACAGCACGGATTACCTTTTTTATATTTCTAAGAGTCTTACTTTCCAGAAATACCAGCCACCCCGCTTTAATTCCTACATGCCTAAAATGTATGCAAAAAGATGTCCCATTGAGACATCTTTAAGCCAAAATAAAAAACAATGAAACTATTTAAATAATTTAAGCATACAATATAGGCATAAAATCACATCGAAATGTCGCAGACCATTAGTTAATAGCTTATCCTCGTCCGCTTAGCCTCGTATACAGTAACGTCGCATTCATTTTACAGTTGGCAGGAATCATGTGAGCGGCGGATCTGTTTGAATCAATCTTGACACGTTTCCTATACTTGGTATAGTGCTGGCCTTGGTCGAGTGAGAAAACATCTAAGTTTACTCAACAAGACAGTCCTGAATCTCCGACATCGAATATTTTCTTCAAGTAATGCTCATATTATCGTAGTGAAAAAAGGTATTCCATTTTTTATATTACCAAATGTAAAATGCGTTAGATGCACATTATGCGTCTATAGTATTATTTTATTAAGAAGTAACAATAACACGTTTTTAATAGTCCATCCGGTTGACTGCTACTTTACATGTAAATCAGTACATCTACATATCTATCTAAGCTCAGTATATGTTTGGAAAAAAAATAAATTTAAAATTTTATTGTATGTAGGTGTATATTAGTTATTAGAACACTTAACTTAAAATCAAAAAATTCTAAAAAAAAAAGTTTGCATAATTCTACAAAATGATTGCGACGACAATACTGCTTGATTTGACAACAAACAAACGGGTGACACGAGGCGGGATTACATAAATGGCGCGAAGTAGCAACTCAATCGGCGCCATGTTTGCAGTGAAAGTTCTTTTTGCCTTCGAAATCCAACAAAATCTTTAGCCAGCATAACGATGTCAATTTCAACCTCCGTAATTTGTTTTGCCAACATGCCTTAACCACCTCTGTCGGACCGTGTCTAAATAAAATTTTCACAGTACTACTGACGCAACACTTCCGGATTTAACTTTGACATAAGTCAGTTTTAAAATAGTTAATCACGTTAACAATATATTATATAAAATCTACGAGAGTCACAGGCAGCCTTTCCTTTTAATATCAAATATTACTACATTTTAGGTAACTATTTGTATTAATAAGTTGTTTAAAGTTAATTGTGGTAGGGCCACGTAAGTCTTCACTATTGCACGAATGAGCAGGTCCGTCCGGGGTAGTATCACAGACCTCCTAGAAGACGGCATGATGTGTTATACTTTCCGTTCATTCATTGTGGTTCATTCCTGGTGAGTGAGGTAACCGGAACCAACTGTATTGAAAGGTGGAAACGCATCTGCAACTTTACGGTGTTGCAAAGGTATTCACTTAAATTAAAGTGAACCACTAGATCGCTTCCTACCACCTCACATAAAAAATGAGAAATAGCTAGCACTACCGATAATTTAAAATAATTAAGTTAACTTTATGAATAATTTGCATAAAGTCTTCACTTTTATTTGCAGTTAAATATGAATATTTAGAAATCTAAAATTAGTATATCTAATAAATAAATATTTTTCGTTATAAATGGAATAAAGATAAATATAATAAACAACAATTGCAGTTTTTGTCTGGGTATATAAATGCCCGAAAGTTTATAATATTATTAATTCTTAACATAAAGAGAACGGGACTTTCAATTTGCTTAACTCGTACACTACGCTTTTACATCCACAGGGAGAGAGAGGTTTATAAATGATTTTATTACAAATATAATAGACCTTTTTAAAATAAAATAGCGATAAGTAAATAAAAAAACGTGTCTTGATTTTGAAACGTGTACGTCGGCTTATTGATAAAATCAGCACGAGTGAGAATAAATAAAGCACGATGAGCAAGGGATTGTTTACATACATTAAACGTGTTAGTATTATAATTTAACATTGATAAAACTGCAGCACATTGTTGTGCATCATCACAGTGTCCTTTCTTGCGATTAAAAATAAGTCGAAGACACAAAGGCAACGTTTATTCCGCCTCTTAACTATAGTAGGTTTTATTATAGCTATATTATAGTGGGTAAATTTCGTCGGTTGTGTAACGTGTTCCAATATGCGCAAACTTTAACAAATTTTTATCTAAAAGTAACTGAATAAATCACATTCAATGAAATTTCGACCCGATCTTTCTAGAAACTTTCCGAAAGTGCAGTGTTCTCGAACAATTTTATTACCGCAAGCTTTTTACGGCTAAATTCTTTTATGCACTAATGCAAAAAGCCTATATTTTATATAATTATGCACACATTGTGTTGTGTAAAGACTAACCGTTGTAAATAATTTCTATTTTTATGTATCTTCGCATAAGTTGTCAGTAATGTGCCAGTTGTAAAGTAACTATATAAACAATAAGTTTTTATGAAGTCACTAAAAGTAGAAGGATGTGACGCAAACGCTATTGTTATGTCCACTCTGTTGACTAGCCAATACCTAACGATTTCACTGTACTGTGTTGTATACTTGTAATATTTTTATGGTTTTTCCCTATACTTGTGAACATTGGTGTACAGCGGAAAACCGCTCCAAAAAGGAGAGAACTATCAAGAAAGGCTTTTAAACAATTTGAATTGATCAATGAACTGTCTCGAATAGTCATATTGATTTACAACTTTATAAAAAATAAAAAATCTTTCCGTGTTTAATATTATAAAATTAGAAATTTGATACTATTGTAGATTTTTCACCCAATTTCAAATCGGTCAAAAATATAATAACCATCCATACATAAATACAAATTATTTTCAAAAATAAAACTTAGAAAATTTTTTCTGTTACCACGTCGCGTGTTAAATGTTAATTATATAATAGATGCTTGGTTATGATAATAAATGGAGAACTACAATGGAACAATGAATTTCTCACATCTATGGGCGCACATCTCATGGTAAATAGTTCCGAGAAATTAATGCAGTTACCTGCCAACGTTTCAGAATGTCTTTATTTTAACTCTTTTAGAGAAAGTAATTGTAGGAATATTTTTCAGGGCGTCATTTTATATAATTACATAACAGAGTAGAAAGTGATTTAACTTCATAGTTTACAATGATAGGCGTGCTATTAACTTATTCAATAACGCAAACAAAAAGGCGATAAGGAGAATTTCGGTATATAGCGAAGAAAATAAAAAAACATACAGTATACTGTTCATACCCGGTAAGCCTTAGATTATAAACAGGCTGATACGCATCACCGGCCGGTTAAACGCTTTTAGAGAAAGGCACTTTCCCGCATTAATGTTTTATGTGCGTCATTTATTTTTATATCTATTAATAAACATCACTTATTGATAAAAATAGCAAAAAAGGTAAACCTTTTACATAAACAAATAGACACACACTTATTCGCCAATAGAATACTCGGAGAAATACGTAGCCGTCGAAACATACCTACACACATACATTATAATATTTAGTCTCGAAAAATGATAAAATAAAAAAAACAATCTTGAAATTAATAGCGCGAAAGTGTGTCCGGTTGCACGACCAAAAATAATGAATAACGGATTTTACCGGAGGCGGCTCCGAAGCGCTGTACACTTCGGATGGTGGGTATTCCGGCTTCATGGTTATCGTAGCCATTGAGTCCGGCTGGTGCTCCTTCTCCATCACGTGTCTGTGCTTTTCACGAAAAAAATTTCTTCTCAGGTAAACGCGCGTGCCGTTCGACGTTCTAAACAGGAGTGCGGCTAGTGACGCGCAAGTGAACGGTTGTGAAGCGTAGGCGCCGCTGTGGTGGGGCCGCTGAGGCCGGACGGCGCAGCGCTCGCAAGGAAGGAGATGGTGGTGATTGTACTTTGTATTGTTCGCTGAACTGATGCCCGAGCTTCGTTCGGTCGCAACTGTACGCGAAAGTACGTCCGCCACAAAATAAACGTTTAACACGTAACACGGGCTTACATCGAATCAATTACACTTTACGTATTGCGGCTTTTTCTCGCCCAGTTGCTCCAACTACCTGTCCAACTCGCTGTTGAAGTCGTCAAAGCCATTATTCACCAACAGATGCATACTGGTTTAGTAAAAAGACATATTAGTGATAAAGTATGGTTTATTATCAAAATAGGTTCTTTAAATTTCAATCTACAACAAATAGAATAACCTCTTCCCTCGCGAAAATCTGCCAGCTGCCGTATGAAAAGGCCCACTCGGCCAAAGAATTATACTTCAATGTTTCCTCTAACAAGTTATGTAACTAGATTCTTAACATCCCTGTCCACAGCGTCAGTTCCCATCCCAGGGGAAAAATAATATAAAAATATCTCTAATAAAAATATCCCATACAGTAGTCACTAACGAAAAACCTTAGAAGAGAGATTCTGTTATAAAGTTTTTAAAAAAATATTGAAATACTAAACTAACCTTGTCAGCTTTGCTTGGGTCATTATTGATCTACATCAACTAAACAAGCTATATCCTATGTTCAGTTAATAAAAGTTCGCAAATCCTTGTACACCCTCGACATAAAGGCATTAAAGCATTGAAATAAAACTTAGTTAAGAACTAGTATATACTTTCAATTATATCAATGCAAAATACAAAATTGCGACACATAAGGGTATTTTTGAAAATACACTTAAACTTCGGTGTGGAGTGGATATTATCCCCGTGATATGAGAACAAAGTACACAATTTTTGGCCGATTTTAAAAAGGTAATTTCATTAAAACGTGACTAAGAGATATCGGCGGCTTAGCTTCGTTAGCCAGCAATCTATGACGCATTACCCAGAACACGCAGGTTCGAATCGTGATAGCCCCGATATACTTAATTCATTTAAACTCGTATATTGTTACAATTGTTCTTAAACTTAAACAAAAAACAAATATATCGATTGCCTTATGCAGGAAGGTTTCTAGCATTAAATACAGGTTAGGAATCAGAATCACGGAACTAGAATAATTCATCTCATATTAATGATCCCATGAATAATTGTTACGGGCCAATCGAATGGCATGTATTTAAATAATATGTTGCAGTAGAATAGTACTGTCTTTCTTACAAGAAATTAAATAACTCTCCTGCCTAGGAGAGATATACGGAGGAAACCGAGTACAATTATTATGCAAACTATCGAAATCCTCGTGACTTCCCTCCGCTTCACGGAGCTGCTGCACGTATTAAAAATGCACCTAACCTAGCAATTTTAACTACACAAATATTAAAGCTAATCTATTAAAAATAAATATAATAAAACCTTTAAATAACGTATAACATTTTAAAGTTATACCTACTACTGCACCGTATTACCATGGCAACCATTAACAACTTTTTGACATTTACCTTAAAGTATAAAAGAAAGTCTTTCCCGCTGTTTGTACAATTAAATCTTTTAACCTTTGTATATTGCAGTTTTCAGTAATATACAAAGTTTATATGTAGTATACATGCATATTGTAACAGAGAAAAGGCGAGTAATTTAAAGATTTGTAATGTGATACTATAAAAACAAACATCTGTAAATATTGTATATAAAGATATCCTGTTGTATGAACTAATCCTTATATTATTAACACGTTGAACGCCATCAAGATTTTCGATATAGTTCCATTTAGGCCACAGGGGACACCGGTGTTCGACAACAACAACTCTATTTGGGCCATGGGGGTCACCCGTGTCCGCAAGGTAGGATTAAGTTTGAACCGCTTATTTTTTACGAGTACCATAATATATAAAAAAAATTATATGCAATATGATCGTTCTGGCCTAGGAGAACACGTATGTCACCAAGGTTCGTGAAAACATGTGACGATGCATAAAAAAATTAATGGATTTTGACAGAGAGTACGTCATTTACATAAGGGGTATTTTAATTTATTTTCAAATATAAAAATGAATGGATATTATTATGTACTCTTATAATAAATGTTTACTGACCAATAAGGTGCATTCGGGTATTTACGAAACGATTTGAGAATAGTTGACGGTATGTTAGAATTTTCGTTTACCAGTCAGAATTGGTGTAGTTAATGCTATCAACTAAGGTCGCATAGTTAACTTGAATATACATCAATCGATATTATTCCAATGACTATTATTAATATCCTCAGTATTTTACAATAAAACTATTTCAAAATTAGATTCCTTTTTGTTGTGTAAGTTTTTTTTTTTTTTTTTTTTTTAACTGATGTTTGTGCTTTCAGTCCAGAGACTATTAAAGCTTCATCTGACGCAGAACCGGTGGGCTAGCCAGAACCCACGGGTTTGGGCCCTCCGCTGTGGGTAGGGCCGCGCATGTGCTCATGCGTGCGTTTAACTACGGCATGTCATCTAAGGGCCATCGAAGTAGCGGTGCGGACCGAGACCCCGATGGCCGTCGACTGTGTTTTTAGCTAATCGGTGGCTGGGGGCGGTGAGAACCGCCCTGGAACGCGGGTGTACCTTGTGTACGCGTTGTGTTGGTCTCGCCGTGCTCGGAGGCGAGGGCGAACTAATGTGTTTGTTGCTACACTAACTGTGTGTGTAGTGTTATCCGGCGGGACCCCCGACGGTGGGTCCGACGTACCTAAGTCCCCTTCCTCGACCAGGTCGATGAGGACGTTTCGCGGGCGACGCTTGTTGACGCTCGCGTTTAGATCGGGTTGGTAATTTGCTGCGCTTACCACCAGAGGGTTGGGATGATGTTCGGCTCTATCGAAGAACCGTTTGGTCAGGTCTTTGAAAAATTCGCGAATCATCGGGAGTCTGCAATCACTGTGCAGGTCGACGTTGCGTTGATACCACTGCGCACCGGTTGCGCGGCGGATGAACTTATTTTGCACTACTTGCAACTTGTGCAAGCGAGTAGGGTGCGTGTGGGCGAAAATCATGCATGCGTAGGACATGATTGGCCGTACGCAAGCTTTGTATAAAAGTAATTTGTGTCTTAAGGACATTTTACTTGACTGGTTAGTTAAAGTGCTTAGCCGGCCGGAGACGAACGCGGCTCTGTTACGGACGTTATTAATATGCGCTGTGAATGACATACGCGAGTCGAAAGTGACTCCTAAATATTTTACCTTTTTCTCCCAGGGGAGCGGTTGGCCATAAAGAGATATTTGCCCTAGCATTCTGCATTGGCGACGACCTTTATAAAGATGTGACGGGTAAGTACTTCGTGTGAAGTGAATCGCCACACTCTTTTCGGGATTTACTTCAACTCTCCATTTGCGGAACCAATCGCCGAGGCGGTTGGCGGCGCTTTGGAGTCGAGTGGTTAGTTGACTAAGGTTGCGGTCTGAATAAAAGAGCGCCGTGTCATCCGCGAAAAGCGCGAGATTGACGTGGGGGTCTTTTGGTATATCACTCGTGTAGAGCGTAAAAAGTAAGGGTGAGAGGCAGGAGCCTTGTGGAACGCCAGCCGTGAGGCGGCGGCTAGTGGATAGGGCGCCTTCAACTCGATATCGAAAGGAACGGTTCGACAAGAAGGCCTGAATGGTGTGTACAAGCCTGTCTGGCACTTTGAGTGAGAACAGCTTGTAAAGCAAGCCGTTGTGCCAGACTTTGTCGAATGCCTTTGCGACATCGAAGAAAAGAGCCCCCGTGCTAATATGTTTAGGGTGATTTAGGCCTTTTAGGATATGTTCCGTTAGGCGGTATAATTGATCGGGACAGGAATGTCTTGCTCGAAAGCCGAATTGTTCCGCCGGTAGAAGGCCGTTGGAAAACACGTGGTCTTTGAGCCTGTTTAATAGAAGCCGCTCGTAAAGCTTCCCCAGGCAACTAAGGAGGCTGATGGGACGATAACTAGAGGGCTGATTGGCTGGTTTATTCGGCTTGCGAATGCCGATAACCGTGGCTTCTTTCCAGTCGTCCGGAAAGGAACAACTGGAGAGTAAAGTGTTGTAAATGGTCGCCAGTAAACAGATAAGTGGGCCAGGGAGAGCTTTAAGGATTTTATTACTAATATTGTCTGGGCCCGGGGCGGATTTGGGTTTTAAATTTTTGATAATATCTTGGACCTCTTCGGGGGTCACTGAGTTTAATGGATCGCCTTCCGGTGGAAGCGCAGCCCTAGTTTCGATAACGCGGTCCACCTCCGTTAGGTGGGCTGTGTCGATGTGTTCGCGCGATGGCGTACATTGCTGCTCTAGGTTGTCCGCAAGGCATTCGGCTTTTTCGGAGTCATCTAGGGCTAATGAAGTGCTATTAGGCATTGCTAACGGCGGTAGGGATTCGCGGGGCTCTGCTTTCAGACTGCGGGCCAACCGCCAGTAGGCGGTGTGCGATGGCTCGATGTCCTCTAGGAGATTGTCCCACGTTGTATGTCGGTGTTCCGATACACGATCTTTGACTTCTAGCTGAAGGCGTCGAAGTAGGGTTCGGTTCGATTCCGATCGGTATCGGTCGAAGGCGCGTTTGGCTGCATTTTTCTGTCTAATTAGCAGTCTTAGGTCGGGCGGAAAGTTAAACCGTCGGTCGCCCGACAGTTTCACCGTCCGTTCCGAGTCTGTGACTGCGGAAGTAATGGTTTCTCGGAGACTTGCTATCGCTCGATTTGCGTCATCGAACGTAGCTATCGTCTCGGGTAAGTCTACTAAGTCCTGGGGGTCCAAGGCCTTGAGTTTGACCTCAAGGCGATGCCAGTCCACTACGGTTTTGGTCGGAGGGACCGCGCCGGCGTTCTGGCCCAGTTTGCACAGGACCGGCCTGTGGTCTGATTCTAATTCTTGGATTGTCTCTATCGACGTGATGTCGAGGGAGACCTCCTTGAACAACATGATATCAAGAATACTCGGTGTCGAATGCTGGTAATCGTCCACCGTAGGATATCTTGTGGGAGTCACAGGAGCGATTATGCTATAATTTAAATCGTCAGATAAGTTAAAGAGCTGCCTACCGTTGTTGTTAGCGCAAGTTTGGGGGTCCCATGAGCCGTGTTTGCAGTTTAGATCTCCTGCAATCATCACGGAAGGGCCTAAGTTAAGTAGCGTTTCTAAATCGCTTTGTAGAAGAGTTTTATTCCCCGAGAGGTAGGCTGAAACTAGTACAAGCGGCCTGTGGCCGGTGAGCGCTAACCTACACGCGGATGCCTCTATATGTCTTAGCTCTGGGATATCGAGCGGGCTACAGTGCAAGGACCGTTTATAATATATTAAGGTACCTCCCAGACGGTTTGCTAACCGGTCGTGGCGGACTATATTATAATTTGCGATTTTTGGATCGCGTCTGCTAGGTTTCAAGAAGGTCTCTTGCACTAGAAATATATCGACGTTATAATCGCGAAGGAATTCTGCGATTTCGTCCCTTTGGCCCCTAATGCCGTTTGCGTTAAAATACGAAACAACCAGAGCCCGAGGTTTTAATCTACCTGCGGTTGTACTTTCCATTTTAGTTTTAGTAGCGGTTCTAGGTAACGACGCGGCGAAGCGCGGTTTTATTGCCCGGACTATAAACCTTTATGGTTG